GATGTCAGCAAGTTCAGCTGTGATATCATGAAACACAATCACTTATGAGACAGTGAGACAAAAAGCTCTCCACCAAATCATTGCTGACACATGGCTCAGTGATGTGGAGCAGGAGATGAACAGCAAGAATGCTCTTTAGTTTTTGGGAAAAAGTTGATTAGCAGCATATTCACAGGTGTTGCTTTTTAACTGTTTATAATGAATGATGAGTTACTACCCAGTAATGATTCACAGTGTTTTTTCTTTCTGTCTTTCTTCCTTATTGCGTCTTTCATCTTTTTCTTGCATCTACTCTTTTTTCTGACCTCAGTTCTCTAGCCCTCTTGTCCTAAATGGCTGGCTCTGCGGACGCAATCAGCTCAGCTTTTATTCAAAAACTTTATTATTCATCCCAGATTTCTCAAAGCCAGCGGGGGAATGATTGAAACCATGACTTTGAAGCAACGCAGCAGCTTCCAGCACAGTGCAGCAAAACGCTGTTCAGCTCTGATGCTCACAGAGGCACGGACCAAAGTTCTCATTCTGTGTCTTCCTCCAGTGGTCCCTCCACACTGGATCATTAATCACAGAACGACATGGAAAGTAAAGAGTGGAGACCCGGGATGGAGGCCTGGGGTCAGCCTGTGGAGGCCTCTCCAGCCCATAAGTCCCTGACCAGTGTCATTATTCTGACATTGTTGTGGAGGCGAGAGCTTTTGATGCTATTGATTTGGGAGGAGGGGAAAGGAGTGGAGAGATCGATGCACTTGCTGATTCAGTGGTGTTGCAAACTCAGGTCAGCTACACAGCCTGCCTTTGTCCAAATGTGTGTAAATGAAAAGTATAGAACTGTAGTATATAACAATACCACTCTGCATGTGTTAATGATTCACATATGTGACACTTAATCACAACACTGCGCTGTCCTTTTCCCCAGAGAGAGAATACAAACATTCCTACACATCAGCTTTCCACTGATACAGGTATACGCTCCATGTTCCTAAACACACATTTGAAATTGTTGTTTTTATAGTTTCTAACTGCCAAGTGCAACGGCAGGAGATCAAATTCAAATGAAATGTAATCCATATGCTCACGATTGCACAGACATTGACAAGTGCAGCAGGAGTCTTCTCTGTATTCCCCCGTGAGACTCTGATCCTTTGTGCTTTCAGTCAAAGCCTTAGTTTTGAAGCTATGTTCAAAGACAGCCTACCTGCTCAGCCCAGCCAGATCCAGATTAAACCCTAATGTCTTCCAGGGCACCTCCTGAACACCCCTCCCCCCCAGCTTTGTCACTTTAGGTTAGGCTCAGCGTATTCACCCAGAGCTGTGAGGGTTTCCTCTGGGGTATCGTCACAGACAGGTGGAAGGCGATGCAAAGAGTGAGGTTTCTGGACAAATGCAGCTGCACACCCAAGATCTTAATGGCATGTCTCTGTATCTACAGTCCTGTGCTTCAAACAAAACACTATTTTGTTCAGTCAAACCAAAAGCCAAGGAGCCCACAGGTTTTATTTATTTCTTCATTGGCTGATTTGTTTTAGTTATTGAAAGCAGTTTTTTTTTGCTGTATATTTGTGTTTGGTAAATATGACTCTGTCTCTGGTGCACACTTTTTTATTATGTACAAACTGTGTGTTGGCAAACAGCTGTGTGAACACCCACACATGGTGACATGTTCTAGCTTGTTGTAGGTTCTATTTGTGGAAATATATCGCTATGCCTGATTTTGAGATAAAATACAACCACTTTTAGGAATGTTGGCTTTGGCCAGACTGATATATCCATATCATATATCAACTACTGGATGGATTGCCATGCAATCTGTACAGACATTCATGCCCCCCGGAGGATGAAGGATGAATACTGACTTTGGTGTTCCACCTTTAGCACCACCATCAGGTTGACATTTTTGACATCTTTAGTGAAATGTCTTGAGATCTGGCGGGGTTTGCCATGAAGCTTGGTACAAGCGTTCATGTTGGCCTCGGGATTCATTTAATCATCATCTGGTCAAAACGTTATTTTGTCAAATACCTCATCATGACTAAATACTTTCAAATAACCTTTCCATCAGCTTCAGCTGTACTTTGTGTTTAGTTGCAATCAGCAGTGTTAACAAACTAACACACAAAACTAAGATGGTAAACATTATACAGTACCAACTTAACGTCAGCATGTTATAGACGTTTTTCTGTGCAACGTCATCGCAGAGATGCTTGTGCAACTAGGGGGCAGAAAGCAGCCCTCAGTCAATGCGGTATATCTAGCAACAGTGTTGGGCAAGTAACTTAGAAATTTAGAAAAAAAAAGTTACTTTTTACTTATTACTCCTTTAAAAAGTATGTTGTTATTAGTTTCATCTGTGCTGCTTGAGCAGATGCTTCAATAAATTAGATGAACAACTGTTCACGGTTGAAAGCTTTTTGCTGGTCGCACAAAGTTTACAACAGACGACAATGTTCTTTGCAACTTACACTGTGACACAATAATGGCAATACTCGCAACTGTGGAAAGAACGCCTCTCTCGCTGACCTGTAGTGCAGTCGCGCATGTTATATTTATATTCGAATGAAACACAAACAAACAGATCCAACTCTGAAATGAGTTTATTATTGAGTTAACAAGAATTTACAAACAATCCAAAATCTGCTGATTGCACTGGTTGATTATAGTCTTCTGACTGGCTACAAATGCAGACACCCCCACCCAAAAAAAGACAATGAATGTAGACCAATGGGGCCAGTTTTTATCTGCCACAGGCACAAAGCACTTTTGTAATTTAATCTTGTAAGTTGAATGTGTTTTGTCATGGCCGTTCTGTTGTTGTTTTAAGTCATGATTTTTATGTACGTGGTATAAAAGAGGCTTATGTCTTATGTCCCTTTGTATTATGTACCGAACGTCCTTATACGAGTTCATTTCAATCTGTACACAAAGTGGTTGTAAAATCATAATGTGCTGTCTTCCCCTGCACATTTCCCTCCTGCTAATGCGCCCTCTGCTCATGAAAACACAGGCAGTGGAGGAAGATGGATAGTGAGGCAAATAATCCAGTTAACTTTTCACATGTTTGCAGGCAGATATTTTCTCTTTATGTGTTTATCATGACTTATGAGCTTCTCTATAGCAGCCATTAACATATGATTACCATCACAAGGCTAATGGGTTTGTCTGTTGTTCCCCCTCCTGCTCAACTGCTTCATCCCCTTTTCTAAATCTTTCTAAGGCTTTTTTTCTTCCTCTTTTTAGCATTTGCTTCCTTCCTATCTTTCTTCCTTGCTCTGTCACTCTCTCTCTCTCTGTCTCTCTCTCACACACGCCTCCTCATCTGTATCCACTCTCGGCCCCTGCGGCCCCTCAAGTCCCAAGCCAGAGCCTCACTCCCACACAATGCTCTCCATTATTGCTTAATTATCTGTGGCCTGTCATTTGAATAATGTGCTATCCCTGAATCTCGATCTTTTTCCCTTTTTCCCTTCATCTTTCACATGCCCTTTTCTATTTACTTCTCTTTTTCTCCTTCTCTGTCTCCCACTGCTGCTTCTCCTCCTCCATCTCTCTCTCACCTCCTTGACATTTCTGTGATGTCAGAAGACTTGTTTCTGCTTTCCTATGTTTCACCGCCTCCTCAAAGCCCATTGACTCGCCTCTTTTGCTAGTTTATAAAGAAATCAAACCGTGTAAGAGACTGTGGGAGAGCAAGCTAAGTCTTAGTCTGTTTTTTGTCAGCCAGCCAGTCTGATGTAGGACATCACTTCTCTCCATCAACTCGCTTCTTATAACTGCATCATTTCTGTCTTAGGCACATTATAGTAATATTTAATAACTTAATTCCACCTTTTTCATCTGTGCCAGCAGAAGAGTGGCAAGAAATCAAAAGCTCAACTTCCTTCCACTTTGATGTTTCTGCTAATTCTGTGTGCCAGCCATTAGAGAGCTCAAATGCTGTAGTTTACAAAGTTAAAAATCATCTTCTGTCATCTCCAAATCTCAGCAGCACTGTGGGGCCATTGGGGAAATCAATAATAAAAAGTCAACATTTGTTTGTGTATGGGTATGTGTTTGTTTCAGTTTGTAAGTAATCTATCTGATGCAAACATCTAATGTGCGTGCAGCACTGTGGTCCCTGGCAGAAAATGGATTGGTACTGTTGTCATAGCTCCCCTGTATCAAATACACACAAACACACCACTTTGTTCCACTGTAACTGTATACTCATTGGGGTATCCCTCCTAGTTTTCTACATTGTTTGTGCCTGATTATTTAGCTTAGGATACCTGGGGACATTTACTGAGGCAAAGCAAGGAAGATGTGTTTTGTGGCTCTGTAGCGAATCACAGGATTTATAATCTGTGAGTTTTGCTGAATGCTGAATGTTATTGTGTTTGAACTGATGGGTATGGCATATCAAACACTCAAATCTCTCCCCATGCATCACTGTGTTTGTATTGTGAAGTAAAGGGTAGTGTTTTCTGAGTTGTTGGGAAGCAGCAGCCTAATTTACTCTCCCACAGTCTGGTGCGTTGTTGCTTCATTCTTGTCATTTTGAAGTCCCATTCAACAACTGATCCGGGATTTTGTAATTCTTATGTTTATTATTGCTTTTCATTGTCTGTTTGAGCTAACTCAACACAACTGCATCACAACAGTTCAGTACATTATAGGGATCAATAACACAAATGGCCCACTCGTACTTGCTGCACTTATGACTCAAATAAAACCCAGGCAGAAGTTTATTTAGGGGGCTGTCTACACTTCAGAAATCATTATCTGTTCTGTACATCACACGTCATTTTACATCAGTCTGGTCAATGCACACTACATTTTAATTTTAATTTAACAGTCCATTATTAATGTTCTCGCGTACATTCACTACAGTGCATAATTATGCATCACTTGTTTTTTGGTGTTGTCTGAACACACATAGTCTTGCTACTAGTCCTAAGCTCAGACATCTAATAAGTGTTGGACCTATTTGATCAAACAAAGTGTGTGTTTCCTGTTTGTTTTTGCAGGTTTGGTCAAGCTCGGAGTCCACTGTGTAACATGCCAGAAAGTTGCCATAAAGATCGTCAACCGGGAGAAACTCAGTGAGTCAGTACTAATGAAGGTACGTTTACAGCTTTCAGTCCTTTCTGTGAATTTTAGATTTACAAGTGAGGTTTTTGAAGTAGTTAGTTTTTACTCTGCTAATCCTTTTGGCACTTCTTCTGAAGGTACTTTGAGTTTTTTTGTTTATGTAAATCTTTCCATGTGTATGCCTGTGAAGAAGGCAAGTAAAGGTCTGTATATTGTACCACACTGTCCCTATTCAAGTCTAGCTGGGGATCTTTGTTGAACATCATTCCTCTCTCTCTCCACAAAATATGCAGTAGCAAGGTCGAAGAGGTGGACTGTGACTGAGTAATGATATCCCTGAAAGAACCACCTCTTTGACACCTAAAATCCGAGCTGACTGCTGGCTAACATCCAAATGAGGAGAATGTTTACACAAATCAATGGCTCGTCTTGCAAAAATATTTGAAAGTTAGTGATGAAAGTCATAATAAGCCATATGGAGAGTGGAATCAATTAGTGAGTCGGTGACAGTGGGTCTTTGAAGCAGCTGATTTTGATCCTTCTCAAATGTTCAGCTGAAGGAGTCAGCTGTTTTGCTCCCTTGCCAGGAGTCAGAGCATCCATGAAACCTTGGTGTAACACAACAATAAAGGAGGTTTCTACAACTATAAGAACTGTGCCTCAACTCCAAAACGCTTTAAAATCTTCTGGGTGAAACACAATAATTTTGCTGTTACCTACACAGCCTCCTCTTGAAGGATCCAGTAGGGATTTGTTTTCTTATTATGTCCCAGGGCTCCTGCTGGGCAGCTCTATTCAATGCCCGCTCAAAATTGGCATGCTGCAAAATTGGCCCTCGTGTTGATGGAATAGTTATAAAGAAACTGAACAGAGCAGGAACATGGAGGACAACAAGACTCTACATCGTGAAAATTGTCTTTCACAGGACACATGCAGAGAAGAGTGCTTACTGTAATTGTTTGCTTATGAGCTGGAAAGCAGGAAGCAGGTGGGTTTGCTCACAGTACAGGTTATCTGCAAATGGAAAATCCCTCTGTTTTGCATGACTTCTGTGGCAGCATCATTAGACTTTAGATGAAAAGCTCTCTGTGTTCGGATATTGCTATTTGATAAACAGTCGGCATTAATCAACTTCATGCTGTGTCAGTGTCTTCCCAACTTTTTCTCACTCATTGCCGTCTTGCTACGGAAGTTGCTTTCTTTCTATCTCTTATTCGGCTTAACATGAAGTCTAACATATTCATGAGGGAAAGACAGGTCATTTCTGTCGCCTCAGCACTGACAGAAGTATTATTAGTTTTAGCAGAAGAAGTTGCTGGAACCACTGTAACATATGACAGCAGACAGGAAGCTAGCAGGATAATGTCTCAACCCAGGTGTTTCACATTGAGCTGTCCTGCAGAGGAAAATGATAGTAACAGATGCCAAATACTGACAGGTTTCCAACAGGACCAAGGCTTTTGCTGAAGCTGCAGTTCAGAGCCAATTACTGAACTCAGCCATTGTCACACTTCTCTCAAATACTGGCCCCTGGTGGGTGGGTGGGTCGAGTGTGTGTGTGTGTGTGTGTGTGCGTGCAGGTGTATGTTCATGTACACCGATCAGCCATAACATTATGACCACTGACAGGTGAAGTGAATAACATTGATTATCTCGTTACTATGGCACATGTCAGTAGTTCGGATATATTAGGCATCAAATGAACATTTTGTCCTCAAAGTTGATGTGTCAGAAGCAGGACTTTAACAAGAGCCAAAGTGTGATTGGCTAGACGACTGGATCGGGGCGTCTCAAAAACTGCAGCTCTTGTGGGGTGTTCTCCGTGTCTCAAGTGGTCAGTATCTATCAAAAGTTATCCAAGGAAGGAAAAGCGGTGAACCGGCGACAGGGTCAAGGGCGGCCAAGAAGGTGGCTTGGTCCGATGAGTCACATTTTCTTTTACATCACGTGGATGGCTGGGTGCATGTGGATTGCTTACCTGGGGAACACATGGCACCAGGATGCACTATGAGAAGAAAGCAGTTTGATGCTTTGGGAAATGTTCTGCTGGGAAACCTTGGGTCCTGCCATTCATGTGGATGTTACTTTGACACATACCAACTATCTAAGCATTTTTGCAGATCATGTACATGATAAACACAACAACAAATTTAAGGTGTTGATTTGGCCTCCAAATTTGCCAGATCTCAATCATTTCAAGGATCTGTGAGATGTGCTGAACAAACCAAGACTAATGCGTTCCTTTTACCTCGGAAGTCGGAGATTGGAGCTGGGAATGACGTCACACCCGAGTTAATAGCGTTCCTGTTAACAAGTCAGAAAGCCTTGCTCAGCTAGCCGTTGTTTACAACTAGCCAGGTTAGCCATTGTTACGCCGGTTGATCAAAAACAATGCATTGTGCGGTATTTACTTATACTAAACACAGTAGCAACACGTCCTCAGACAACAGTTGGACAGCACTTGCGGTTCTCCCAACTTTCCAAGTCAGAAATACAACTTAAGGGTTCCCTTTTAAATTTCCAACTTTGTACTTGGAAGTTCCAACTTCCTATGTAAAATGGAACGCACCATTAAAAGGTCTACTGCTAATGTCTTGGTGCCAGATACCACACCACGCCTTCAGAGGTCTAGTGCCTTGACAGGTCAGGGCTGTTCTGATGGCAAAAGGGGAACCTACACAATATTAGGCAGGTGGTCATAATGTTATGGCTGATTGGTGTGTGTCGGTAGGTATTGAATTGTGTGGAAGCCAGGGGCAACTGAGTTACCCTGAAAGAGACACTTGTGTCTTGTAAGTTTGGCAGTGAATGCCAAAAATCTTAGTCACCATTATTTCATATTATACATAAATAGTCTTTCAAACTGAATGCAGTAGTTAGGTGTATTGCTTGCTTTCAGTTTTGTATTAAAAGCATGCATCTGTGTGTTTGTTTCTGTCTATGCTTGTTGAAGCTATTCTGGGTGTACATTGTGCTGAGCAATGCTTGTTTGGAAATGGTATGTGTGATCATATTTGTGTAGTAAACAGGTAAACAGTTAAAATTCAGTATTTCACGAGGTAAATTGGAAATCTAATTGATGTACTGTAAACATGCAGGATTGTTTCTATATGTTTATGTACAGTGTGTGTATCAATTTCTTCATTGGCCTTTGTTATAAAGCTGCTTGAGACCTCAAATATAATTCAACGGCCCTGTGTAAATTATGAGGCAAGATCTTTTAGACCACATTTTTGTTGAGGTCATTTGTAAAGTTTCCTCTTGTTGCAAGACACACATGACCACTCTTCTATTCTGAGGTTCCCACTGTGGCTGGACCGGTGTTTTCCTACTCAAATTCAGCCACCCATATTCTCATTGTGTTACACTCCAGTCTTATGTGTCTGTTTCTGTTCTCTGGGCTGCATGTGTGGCTGTCAGACTGTCAGAGTCAGAGGTCGGGCTGCACTCTACTGCAAGGCTCAGACTGTGAAATGTCACCTTTTAATATGCTAATGTCTTGGGTCCCTATGGTGCCATTAGGGGAGAATCTGACTCTCCCGGACAGGTGTGTGTGTTTGTGTGTGTGTGTGTGTGTGTGTGTGTGTGTGTGTGCATGTGCAACACCGCTGACAACACATATATGCATGCATACACATGCGATACTTAAATACAGGCCATACACACGCACACAAGAATTCATAAGAATGTGTCATACACATACAGACAAATACATATTTATATGTATGTGCACGAACACATCATCCATGACATACATCATCCCTCTACATCTGTCCTTGCCCTGATTGGCCTTGGGAATCAGGGGCCTGTGGAGTGGAAGAGATGGGTTGAATTAATTGTCTCAGAATATCTTGCAGAGAGGTCCTCCACTTCCCTCTACTCACTGTGTGTTGAACTTTTTATAACTAATGTTGAACTCTCTAGTCCACAGCCCCACAGGCTATGACACTATGGACCAGAAGGGCATTGAATTGTCTTGGATAATGAATTCGTCTATGAACTTTATGTCAGTTTGTTACCAAGGAATGAGCCTTGACTACTTCAAAGAGTAAGTGCAGCCCAATGGGTTTTTTTCACGTCCAAGCAAAAAACCTAACAATGGAGTTAGTTGAATAGTAATAAGAGTCCCTGTCAGTGGGAAGTGGCTGCCTGTCATGTTTCAAATGATGAGAGAGAAACACAGTATGTGGACATGTGACAGTATGTCAGCAGTCATTGGCACTGAGGCCAAACAGAATGGAGTATGACGATCCAATAAAAATAGAAGCCCAGAACCACAACTGTATGTATGAGTGTGTCTATGTGTGTGTCTCGAGGGGGTAGTTCATGTTTCTGAAACACGGGCGGCTCTCTGTCTCGCAGTCATGTGTCTGGGCTGTGGCGGCCATGGGGTTGAGAGAGAGAAGTAGGAAGGACAAAAGAGAGCAAGGCTCAGGAGAGATAGATGGACATGCTGTGAGAAACCCTGCTGAGGCAAGATATAACAGATGCCTTAGTAGGTACACCACGTCTCTACTCACATTTCCTGTCAGGAGTGTCTTTTGTTCTTGGACTATTAATGTGACATTCACACATATGGTATGTCAAAATCGTTGCCATAGATATGATCACAACGAATAATGAGATTTAATGATGATTAATAATTTGTGCCCTGTCTGTTGTGATGTTGGGATGTTATGTAAGATGGAGCTGCACTCTTTTGAAAATAGTCATAATTCAAATTCACACAATGCGACTACTCTTTAATTACTGGTGTCAAGAGAATTCTGGGAAATTAATCTGGGGCAAAATCCAGAGAAATTTGAGAAACCAGTACAATACCACCATTTTGCTTCCAATACGAAAACTATAATTTTGTTAGCACCTATGTTTTTCTACAAAAAACATTTTTCATTGGACAAAAAAGAAGGCACATTTTAAAATGTTATATGAACACAAGCAGCCGTACAAGCTATTTGCCCTAATAAAATAAAACTAAAAATGACAAAATCATAATTTAAACTAGGTACTAGTTCATGAATGAAAACAAGA